GTTTGTGAAGAATGTGACGTTTCCATAGTTTACTTTACCGGTTGGTTTTTATTTTGACAAGCACTGGAAAGTAGGAAGGACTAGATAACCATTTTGTCTTAGCATGAAACTTCTCAGTTGTACATATGAATGACTCACCATGTCTAGAGGTTTCTATGAGCCTGAGGCCCTCAGTCTGATTCCCGATGATGTCCATGAATGTGTGTTGTTTAGTGGTCTTATACTTGAGAGATTCGTCATTTCGGTGCTTCTAGACTCTCAGTGGGTATATTTGACTATTCAGTTGTTTAAATTTACCAATATTATTATTGATAATTATTCATTTTAATAATTTTTATTTTATTAGGGCTCATTACTTGATGATCATTTTATTACATGTTGTTGTCCTCAACTTGTTTTATGTCAGTTGAGGCGAGATATGAGATATATGGAATCTTAATAAATTTTAATTATGATAAATATAATCAATCGGAAAATGGAATATTTCAATCTTCTTTCGAAGAATGTTGCTTTTTGACTACATGAGCGTTCTATAACATAAACTACTTTCATGTTAAAAAGGAATAATTATAGTGTGCATACATGATTAAGAGTTGTTGATAAAGAATAAAAAATCTTTGGTAAAATAAGTATTTGACTTGTGTGTTTTCACTGAGCACGGTGGTTTCCCTTTTAGTAAATATGAAATCTATGTAGAATATTCTTTTCCTTAAAGTGTACCATGTGTGTGTTCATTATTCCTAACAGTTATCGAAAGCTTCTCTGAAATGTCTTAAAAAGATGAGAGAAGTCTGAAGATACTTTTTCCATTCAGCGCTCAGTAAAGCAATACAACAGGGTTCTATAGAAGAGATAGATTATTCGTCATTTCCTGATAGATTAACTAGCAATTTTCCTACTAATTTGAGTTTGTTTTCTAAGTAGTACGGTCACACATAAACCCATTAATATCATTATTTCTGTTCATAAACTAGTTTTGTAAGTTGGGCTTATTTCGATTCATTCATCAAGACTTTTCACTTAGACGCTAGGGGTTCATCTCAACATTAGTCACTAATGAACGTCTGATGTACATTTGTTTAGTCGGATATATATATTTGAAGAGGTAGATCGATTTCGATAGGGCAAGCTATCAGTCATATCTGGAACAATTTGAATACTTCACTTCTGTTCGAGTTTTTTGCTGATGATGTTATTTTTAGAGGAGAATGAAACCTCCACGACCAAACCATCGTATTAGAAATAATTTACACTTTATGTTTAATTACTTGAAAATTATTTATATTCAAGATACAACAACTGATATTTCATTAATCTAAATTGAAAATGTAAATTTCATATTACAAAGTTTAGTTAATAAAAGGGAAAAATCCACTAATCCGTATAACGTTTTAGTGGCCCGATATCTAACTCTAATTAGATCGTATGAATGTTGTCGAAGTACACATATCGTCAGTCCTCGTATATAATCATCTACTTAATTCGCGTTGGTAAATAACGGAAATGAATAAGTCAAATATGAGAATGGATTTATGAATGCATATATTTTGTACACTCACTGATCTGAACAGGAAATAAGAGGGGTGAAACGAATAGAAGAGAAAGAAGCGAAATGACGCGCATTAGAGAGGGCATGTGTGCCAACTCAAGCATTATTCAATATTTATAGTCACTCAAAAATAAGTTACAGATATGTGATGAGTAGGATAAGATGTACACACACATGCTCTCATATGAATACAGTCAAGGCTGATAATTGAATATTTAGCAAGGTCACAACATGATTCAAGAAGAATGGAAAAATTGGCCTGTCCAGAAGTTAGAATAAGCTATGTGGGTTTAACATAGTCACCGACACTACAACGTATTTACTAAATAAATTTTGAGTGTTTTCCCAAGAGTTGCACAACAGCAGAAGTTTAACAGAACTGTTTTTTTTAAAGAACAAGACTATATTTTCTAACTTATAATAACAATCACTCAGAAATTAAATAATTCATACTACGAAATCTCATTTGTTGATATAAAACTTGAAACAACAAGTATACCATCATATTTATAATTCACTTTACTGGAAACATTATTTTCTCGGCGACACTATAATTTATGGACGAACCAATCACGTATAAGATAACAGGTCTCGGATAAATAGAGTTTTGGCATTATAGCTGATGTTAGTTCGTGATGAAAACCTTAAATCTAATTTCTAACCCTAATCATCAACTGTAAATCATAATTCTATTGTGGTATGTGCTACTTATATTGACATGAGTAGTATATGATGTTAGTCATGAACTGAAGGTCTGGCAGTAGAGAGACAAGAGGATCAAACAGTAAAGAATGGAAACAGGATGCAATTTGTATGAAAACGCAAGAACAATGAAGTCTGAGTTATTTTGAGACAAATGGTTGATATTTTGCAAATTAACCATTTACTTTATGATTGTTAGATTTTATCAACAAGTCCTGTAATTTTGTGTTAGATACGTTCGATTGTCTCCACTCGTGTTCTGTTCACTATACTATTTGCTCACGCTGCTTTATAACCCTCATTTGGTCCTGGTTATTAGGTGGACACTTAATGGTCCATAAACAATAGTATCGACATTTTATCCTATATAAATATTTGCAATCAACAAATCTAAAGTGAATAAATCTATTTAGTTAACACTGAAACATGTTTTTGATGGTGTTTTGTTCTGTAAACAAACCATCCAGGTCAGAGAACAAAACTCCATTGAAATCATACATCTGAGTTACAAATCTTCACCACCGAAACATGTAATAATAATTTGGTTGTGTTCTTCGATTGTTAACTGTTATCTGATATAGGATGTGTATATGTATATCATGGACATATGGTTCAACACTTTTGAGTTATTTCATACGAGAACGTGTTAGCTTTTCGACTGTTCTTCATTTTCAATAAATCTACGAAATAATAATGTCGTTACATCATGAAAGCTAAATCGAAATTTTTATTAGTTGAAAAATCCTTCCTAGTCAAGTAGTCAAATAAAACCAGATAATTTGTTTGCTTCATTTTACTTATTTACTTACGCCTGTTATCTCCCGTGGAGGAGAATGGGCCACCCACCAGTATTCTCAATTTAACTGTGTCATGGGCAATCCTTTCCATTTGTTAGCAATTGTTATTCATTATTTTGTTGTCTACTTCCGATTCTGGACTCAGTGTGTTCTTTGGACTTCCTATTATTTAAATTTTCCTTCAAGATTCCCAGTTAGGGCTTGCCTCGTGATACAGTTTGATAATTTCCTCAATGTGTGTCTTATCGATTTTCAACGTTTTCCTAATTTTCTTCTCAGCTGGGGGCTGGTTTGCCCTCAACTACAGTAGGCTGTTGCTGATAGTATACGGCCAACAGAAAATGAGTATCTTACGTTGATAATTGTTTGTAAATACTTTTACTGTTTAGATGATGTTTGTGGTAGTTCTCCACGTTTCAGCTCCATACAGGAGAATTGTCTTAAAGTTCGTACTGAAGATTATGACACTGATGTTAGTTGACAGTTGTTTTGAGTTTTATGTATTTTTCAGTTGTAGAAATGCTGCCCTTACTTTGTCAATCCTTACCTGTACATATGAATCAGAGCTTCCTTCTTTCGTGTACTTCTACAAAATTCATTTTTATTAGGTCAGTTAGTTCTGAAAAAAACTATCGGCTTGAAATTCTATGTATCTATTAATAAAATATGAATACAATCTATTGCTCTATGTTCATTTTTTAAAAAACAATATAACCTACTCACAGTAGTAAATGTCAGTCAGTCAGTCAGCTACAACGTAGGACCAGGCACATATATGTATCTGTCCAAGTTGCCATACCGCATTAACACAGCAAGATGAACACAGAATTCATAGTAGTTAATTCAGTGGTGGTAGTATGTAAAAGAAAGATTGCATATGATGACATAGTACAGGAAGAAAAAATTAGTTTGTAGAAAAAAAGATATGAAGCGATTTTAATCTCATAGTTTAAGGGAAGACAGAGAGTGTATACACCGACGCCATTGTGATCGATTCTGAGCCATGTCACCAAGAGTCTCCAACCATTGGGTACGATAGTCACACGGACTCCAACCAAGTAGTCTGAATTTACCAACATGGCTCAGACTAGAAGTTAGTGACTTCAAGCACTGATGCCACGTTTTGGTTTGGCCCCCCCTAACTTTCTTCCAACCATCCCCAACACTAGTCAGCATTGCGCGTTGTGGTAATCGGTGTTCAGGCACGCGCAAAACGTGGCCCAATCATTTCAGTCGATGACGATCCACAACCTCATCAACTGATTTACCATCATTCCCTAATACCCTGTGTCTAACCTCACTATTACTTACCCGGTGATCCCAGCAGACGCCAGCAATATTTCTAAGGCATCTGTGGTCAAATACTAGTAGCTTACGATTGTCTTTTGCTCTTAATGGCCATGTTTCGCTGCCGTAAATTAAAACAGAACGGACTACCGCGCAGTATACTCTTCCCTCAATTGATAGACGGATATCTCGCCTTCGCCATATGTGACGTAAGTTGGCAAAAGCCAAACGAGCTTTTCAAATCCATGGTGAGATTTCGTCAGAAGTGAAGTTGTCAACGCGTTCGACTACTTTACTCCCTATCCTTAGCTTAGGTTTTGACGTAGACTAGTCCTGAAGCAACAACTTGCATTTAGAGGGAGAGAAGTGCATAGTTGTAAATAAGCCAATAAACAAAAATGAAGTACAACCAGAAAAAAGTATCAACATAATCCAATGATTTTATTCGTAAATCAATTACTCCAAAGATAATAATCAATAACCAATACCAATCAATCATAATTATTGAATTAAATTTTTTTTACTATATTACTTTATTTAAAATGAAATGAGAAAATTGGACATTGTTAACACATATTTAACTCTTATTATATAAGATATTAATGGATTATCACACAAATAATTTAGTTCTTGATTTGATCATATTGAATTTTATATAGAAATTATTAAACATCTCCATCATTTTTAATGACATAATCCATATCTCTTTTTAATTGACACATAACACATTGTGTACATATGCATGATAATAAAAAGTCATTAGTTATTGAACCCTAAAAGAAAAGAATCGACATATATTACTGATAAGGGGATCATATAGTGAAATACATTCAGTCAGAGATTAGAACTGTTATAAAAATGTAATAGTTAGTTAAAATAATGAACAGAATGATGGTCAAAAGATTATGGCCAATTATATAAAGTAATCAGCTGATAATTACTCATAACATTAGTTTATTGTTCCACGTTCTCTAGTTGAATTTATATCAGACAATAATACATTTGTCCAACAAACAAAGTTGTTTACACTTCATTAAATAACACCCCTATATACACAATTTTGACATTATTAAGTGTTACTAAGACAATATAAGTGATTGTACGATTACTATTGTGAAGGTCACTCACTCAATCGCTAATACAGTTGTAGTCTAAGTATCAAACTCATTACTTACAGTTCACCCTAATCACAGAAAGCAAAGAAATAATATTTTCATTTATGGTTATCATGTATTCAAAGTTGTTAATACATTCTTGAAATGGTTATACTAATCATAATTTTGATAATTTCTACATATCTGATATATCTGTCAAATATATTCACTAATTTTATGTTGAACAGCAATATTTGTTATTGTAATGTATGAAGACAACAATCCTGGTTAAGATTTCCTGTATGCGGAATTGTGGATGCGCACTGTTGAGGAGTCCACTATTATGAAGAAACGATCGTTCAGTGCTTCCAGGTTTTCAATGATGGTGTAGCTTAGATTGGCCCATTATTTAACTATTAAAATTACCACCATCTCCACAAATTCAAATACTAACTATTTTCTTTTGATCAAATGATCCATACAATTGTTCAATATTAACTACATTATGACAAGTTAAGGTTCAGTTATTTCTCTATATATTGAATTCATATTTACTGACAGTGATCCTTATGAAAATACTATTTTTATCTGTGAGGACGGCTGACGGATGAACTCAAAGAAGCTCTAAAAAGCTCAGAAAGAGCTGAAGATATTCCATCTAGTCATCTTTTGTAAGAATATTCCAATATCTCTACATGTAGCTTCCCTGTCGGACAAATGTTAAGAACCCACTGTATGCAGATTGGAGGACTATAACGATGATTTCGTTTTTACTGAAAACTATAAATACTTGAGAGGTTTGTACCATATTTGACACTGTTTGGAATATAATTCTTTTCACTTGTCTTCTGTTTTCTCATTTGCTACTTGGAAGGTTCTAGCGTTTGTGTGCTCCAATCGTACATGGTATATATAACAATCTCAATATATTATACTGATCACATTAATAAGAAGTGATTTAATTTTATACAAAAATGATTCCTGTTTTCCTAATCCATTGAGTATATATACACATTTCCAAAAATATTAATAATTATAAGAATTGGAGAAAATAATAACAAATAATAATTCTTACTTTAATTTTATGCCTAAAACGTTGTCGCATTCTAAGTGGACCAGTTCCAGCGCCAATACAAGGCAACCAACACGGTTCATTGGCATATGAATATAAATAGCATAAATATGGGCATGGACAAAACAGTGACAAGAAACCTAAATAAAAAAAGACAAACCAGACAGACATTATTAAATGTTAAATGAATCGTCTGAATCCAAAAGAAAAAGAATATTAGGATGTTATTGACGTGAATTTCACTGTGTTTGATTAATATTCGTCGTACTATATTTATTATAATATATAATTTACTGATTTCTAATACTTGAATTTATCTGTCAGTTAAAGCTAGACCACCATGGAAAACCTGGAAGCACTGGACGGCCGTTTCGTCCTAGTATGGAGCTCCTCAACAATGCGCATCCATGATCCCGCCTTTCGAGATTCGAACCCAGGACCTATAGGTCTCGCGCGCAAACGCTTAACCTTTGTCTTCAGTGAGTTACAATTTCATAACAGATCTGGTTGAACTCTACTGGTCACTGATTCTCACTGGAACTCCAGGAAACCCCTCTTGAAGTCAGTCACTAGTGATCATATGATGACTCATGAATTCAACTATAAAATTACTAAAATCTGCACAAAACACCCTTCTTATTTTTTATAGTAAAGTCTGAATATTAGGAAAAACAATTACTCAATGAAAAATTCATCATACAAGAATATTCCATGAAACTTTTTAATTAATGTGAATGTATCATTGGTATAGATGTTGTGCAAGTGTTATGTTTGATGAGCCACTCTATAATTTCTTAATAATTATATAACTAGTTGCTAAACGATGAGTTTTACAAGGATTTTCAGTTATTTTAGTAATAAAAATCAAGGATACATTATTAACTTAACAACACATAAAAATTACATTAGGTATATTGACGTTTTCATAGTATTACTAATCACTAGGGATTATAATAAATAAATAGCAGAACCTGATAGACTAACCCCTGAGAATTTTAAGGATAGTTGTCCAGTTTTAGCAATTAGATTACCTGAAATCTTAGTCAAAATCTGGGAAGTGGATGTAATGCTATCCGACTGGTTTGAATCACTGACCATCTCAGTCTATAAGGAAGGACAACAATCCTCGTGTGACATCCAAAGAGGAATCAGTTTAACTAACATATTGTGTAAAATATTAGCCACAACAAAACTTCAATGTCTAGTTACAACACGTGAAGTACAAACTCGAGAAACTCAGGCTGGTTTCAGAACTGGAAGTAAATGTAAAGACCAAATACTTACTCTTTGACAGATTCCGGTACATATACATACTTATCGACGTCCAACTATAGTTGTATTTCTTGACCTTAAGGCGGTGTCTGACTTCGTTGACCGTGAGGTTCTATGTCAGTGTCTGTCGTTGAAAGGAGTACCAAAGAAGAATATTAACCTTATACAGGCTTACAAATCGAACACATCTGGTCGCGTCAGCGATTATGGTAAATTGTTGTCGGAACTGGCCGCTTCAAGTGGTGTTTGTCAGCGTCGTCCACCTCCCTCACTTTTATTCGACGTTTTCGGGCGACCAGTGATGTCTGCTGGTGCAAAAGTAGGTTTGAAAAATATTGGGGACGACCAAATCGAAGCTTAGTATCGATCCATGAAGTCATTTACAATTGAATCGAGCCATGTTAGTAGGTACAGACTACGTGATCAGGGTCTGTGTGAATGTCGTAACCAATGGTTAGTGACTCTGAATGACATGGCTCAAAATTGTTTGTAATGGCACTGGTGCATCCAGTCATTGTCTTCCCCCAAATTCTGAAATTCGAGATTTTTCATAACTTTTCTTGTTTTAATTATGCTAATTTATATTTTCTTTTCGAGCCATATCTTCGAGGCCTATTCCTTCCTATTATCGTTGATACTGTAACTACTCCTACTGATGTGAGATTTGGCCTGACAACTTCATCTCTCTGTGCTAATGAGATATGACAAGTCGGTTCGATGTGCACATGTTGTAGTTCTACGTTGTGACTGAAAGACTCGTTATATAAATAACGACTGATTTAGACAGCGTCAAGTCATATCCTTCCATTGGCATATTTGTTTACAGATAACCAAAAATATTCAAAATTGACGAGAATAAGACCGTAAATCATGCTATAAACATATTTGAATGCATATGCAATGATATGAGTTGATAAAATGACATTTAGTTTTTGTGTTAGGTAACACTCGTCCGAAAGGTAAGCTTGTGATTTGCTGAGAATGAAACTGGCGTTGTTAAATGTCGTAGTGAGAGATATTACCCATCAGCTTCTCAGGCTACAACAATTCCGTAGAACTGAGATGTACTCTGTTGACGAGTGTCAGTTAGTGAGGAACTTAGTTCCAATATCTCGACAACTAATTTTAATCTCATTATATGAAAGCAAATTATTCTATGATTTTGTGATAATTAGACAATTGTTAGCATTCCAGTTTGATGGAGAAAATTATAGCATCACTTATAATTAGTTAGTATGAAACTGGTTATAACTAACAAATAGACTAATTTGATAGAATTTTTAAGCATTTTAGATATTTCAGAAACCTCTACGTAGATTATTTGAAACAAAATTGAATAACTTTATAACATCTATGTGCACTTGTTATCAGTTATGATAAACTTAATTGCTAGAAATTTAAACACTCAATGATTAATAAATTTAAAAGATACATATGCTGTGTTCTGAACTACTCATATACACATAAGTAGTATATAGCAATGATCAGATATAGAATGTATTTCAGTGGAAGATCGAAAGGGAAAGAACGGGAACGGAAAGCAATTGGTATAAAAATGCATGAACAATGAAATATGAGACGATGGATTGAGATTCGCAAAAGGAACAGTCAAGTTTGAGACAACTGATTGGTATTTTGCAAATTAACTATTTACTATATGGTTCTCAGATTTTAATGAGATGTTCTGTAATTTTACACTCAATTGCATTTAGTTATCCCCACTCGTGTTCGTGTTCACCGCAATGCTAATTGATGTTTTATTTTCTGTCACATTCTATGAAATTGCAAAGTAGTCATGAATAAACGTTTAGAATCTATACCGTCCTTATCAAGTTAATAATCTCTAATGTTGTTAAATGTAATATTTTCACAGATTGAAATCATGAGTCAGTTGAAGCTAGACCACCATTGAAAACCTGGAAGCACTGGACGGCCGTTTCGTCCTGGTATGGGACTCCTGCTCACTAGTGACTGACTTCAGGAGACACTTCTGGAGTTCTAGTGAGAAGTCGTTACCAGTGGAGTTCAACCAGGTCTGTTGTGAGATAGGAACTCACTGAAGACAATGGTGTACGGTAGCGCAACTTCGTGGATTGGTTGAAGTTAGACATTAACACCATTGGATGCCGGCTCAGTGGTCTAATGGTTAAGTGCTCGCGCGCGAAGCCAGTAGGTCCTGGGTTCGAGCCCCGGGTGGTGCGGGTTCGTGGATGCGCACTGCTGAGGAGTCCCATACCAGGACGAAACGGCCGTCCAGTGCTTCCAGATTCTCAATGGTGGTCTAGCTTCAACTGACTCATGATTTCAATCTGTGAAAATTTCTAAAAATCTCCACAGAACATTCTGATAAAATGTAATATTGTTTGAGTAATTATTGACAATAAAAATCCCTTGTTTTTATTTATATTCCCTTTGAATTTTCTGCATCTTGTTAATAGTGATTTGTTCAAAATCATTAACAAGGGAATGAAATTTTTGAAAATACCATAAATTTAGTGCTTTGACAAAAAAAATAGTTTTTCAGCTTATCTTATAGACTGACCTTAGTGAAACGATCATCCTAGTACATAACTCCCCATAACTGGGTATTCATAATCAAGTGATGTCGGTATATAGAAAAAGTGCTCAAGTTATAGATCACTGAGCCAGTATTACACAATCCTTATCAAATACATTGTTAACAACTACCTAACTTCCAAAATGGTTAAAACTCACTGGTCATAGCTTCTGATTAGAACTCTAACCAGCAGCTTTTTGAACAAATAACTATAATTTCAAATTATAGAAAGTTAAAAATTCTTCAATTTGAAGTAGGTAGAACAGTAAATTTTACAATTAATTTCCGTGGTTAAGTTTGCATCATATAAAAAGTAAATCATATAATCAACTGCTCTATATGAACTTTTAGTAGTTGAACAATGCAAAAGTAATTATTGTGAACGATGAAAATAATTATCAATATGGGGCTATATAACTGGCTTTATTTTTTTTTATGAAATCACAAACCGGTCTAATTTAGAAAACCATGGAAATCCTAGACTCACAGGAAATCCATATCATTCGAGTACGGGACTCCTCAGTACGCAATCATGACTTAGAAACTAGGAAATAAACCTAGGGTTTTTGATCTCGAATAGTGGAACATGGTTAAGTAATATCGTGAACCGATTAGAGTTAAAAACCATCCAAACTTGGCTAAGTGATCCTAAAGTTCAACGTTCGAGCGAGACCGAAAATTATGGGTTTCATTCCATGTGGTAAGGTTGTTAATGCATAATTCAGAGGAGTTCCTTAATAGGAACAGACAAATATCCATATCTCTCTGATTTTCTACAGTTTTCTAACTAAAATCAATTTGTGATCCCAATATAAAAATCACAAATTATTCTTTTGACAAATTCAATATATTACATTAAAATAATTGTCGTAAAACAAATATTTCAGTTTGTAAAAAAAAACTTACAACTAGTAAGGTCATTTGTACACTGAAATAGGCCTGACTCCCATTCTCTGGTCTCCTCAATTTGCTGAAAGAAACAGGGAATGATCATTAGACGGAATTGGATTAGTTAATATTGACCATATTAACCAATAGAAACATAAAAAGTATCCCAAACAGTAACTGGTATCTCAATCAATAAAATAAAGATTTGACTTTCATTTCATTATGAACTGACATTAACTGAAAGACATAAGACTGGATGTAGAGAGAACAGAAATGAGGTGAAGTAGATAATCAACTGTGTTTTTTTCTGTTTCAAATGTTTATCCTTGACAAATGAAATGTTACGAGCATAACCAAAGCAAACTAACAATAACGAAAAGCTGGGGTCGTTTTCGTTTATCATTTCTGAAGATCTATACGAGTCAATGAATAAAATTTTGTTTACTGAAAAGATCAGAAAATTCACCACAGAAGTTCCCGAAGCACAATATGTTTTTGTTCTAAACAGTTGACTACTCATTAGTAACCAGTAACATCTCAGGGTGAGACTCTAATTTATGGGCGAGTCAATCAGAAGACAGTACAAAGTAGAAATATACCATAAAAAACTGAAGAATTAAAGTGGATATTCTTCTTTTACATGATTTAAAAACTTATTAAGGTTTGATAGACGTTCAGAGGTTCTGAAATCATAGTACATACTGTATAGAAATTCATCCATATGGCACCATAATAGTCGAACTCTGGAGCCGTGATACGGTCTTAAAAAACTCCTTTAGTCTGGACCACTTGGCTTCAATATTGTTAGTGTGAACGCCCCTTGTAGGGTCGACAAAATGGCGCTTGTTCACTAAAACATGATTCACATACCCAAGTCTATGAAGGCATCTATACGCTCTCCAATCATTTGTATATATCGTAGTGCCGGCTGAAAGTACTCCTGTATAATTGGTATTATTGTGCTTGCTTGCCGGTTTCTGACCCTTTGAAAATGTCTTTTTTGCGTTGATCGATCATAAATTCCAAGTACCTGTGAGGTATATTCTTAATATTCCGTCCTCTGTTATATTTCCACTTCCGTACTACTGTTTCATCTATTTCAACAATATTCCTAACTCCTTTGTACTACTCGTGTAAACGTGTCATTTTAATTGCACGTATATCCCTGCAGTACTCATACCACTATACAGCTGAAGTCTCAGTAACGTCTGCAAATGCTGCAGTTAGTGTTACTGGTGCTTCAATTATCCAATTTGCGACAATTATCATGATTTGTCTCAGTCTTAATCGCGATAGAGCGAAGAAACTAACCGTTCGAGCAGACTTTTTTCCCCAATATAAAGTAAATCAAAAGCAATGTCATCGAAATGATCTGAACACAGTACTGAAGTCATTTGATTACCGCAGTCACAGGTAAAGGAACTTCTTAGTAGTTCCATCTGTTGAAGTCGCTCAATAATCACGTCTTCTCTAAAATCCGCTGCAAACCGATCGTGACCTCGAAATCCCTCGAATGCTTTTGTTTGGCCAGCCCATAAATTAGAGTCTTGCCATTGTGAATTAGTATGAGTAATCAGAAAACTTTACAGGCCACATCTCTTTTATTGAACATATCTAATAGTTAAATGAATTATTCGGTTTACATGTTCTTGTATAAAACAAAATTCTTATTGGTAATGTCCTTCAAATAAATCTATATTTGCAACAATTTGTTGTTTTCCTCTTTCCAACCGAACTCAACAACTATTATCCCTTTTATTTTATTTAACTCAGCTGTTTACTTAATAAATTTCATAGGATAACCGTTTATGCTTAAAGACCAGTTAAATCCATGATATCAGTCTACATTATCAGATTATTTATATTGTATAAATCAATAAGTAGAAGGTTTTAATAATCAAGGCATATTCCTTAATTACTGACCATGATGACTAACTTATATAATCATTTGTTTGTCAAGTCTTACTGTTTAAGAAAAATTAAATTGTTGCTTATTTGTAGAAAAAGAAGAAATTAATGAGCACATCGTGATATAACTGAGATACATTTAGTTAAACTACGATCATTATCTCATTTGTATTGGTTGTGTTGAATTTTCTCATTGATGCTTTAGGAATGTTATCGATCAGTCTTTTATTAACATATGTGCATCTTTTGAGAACTGTCCTCCTATTACTATTAAGTCACAGGGATTATAAGCAAAAATGGATGGTGGCTAGCATTGGACGTAACGTGAGTTCTGGATTCCATTGTTAGGCACTACCAAACTCTGCTGATGATCATTATCACTGATAGAATCTCAAATACCCCAATGTCTAGAAAAGATAAACTTAAAAATAGACTCTTTTCTCTGCTTTGTTTCAGCTTTCCATTTATTTAGTATATTCAATGGAGAAGCAGCTCCATAGGATGTAAGTTTGTAACAAATATGAAGCAGTTCTATTTAAAATAAAGTCTAAGCAGATTTTCATTTTATTAAATAATCTCAGAAACATCAAATTGAGATAGAAGTAATCCAAGAGTATTTCAAAATCTATGTACAAACAATTAAAGTCTATTCAATACACAATTCATTAAAACAGAATAAAAACACCTAAGATGAGATTGAAACAATCATTCGTAGTACATCAGGACAAGAAATAAGTAAGTAAAATGTTAATAACTTGTAAACGCATAAATAAATAAATGTGGAATGAATTGATCGCTTAAAACTAAAATGTATCTAATTCATATTTCTCTACATTTACAATCTTCAAGTCAATTGTACCGAATTATTAAGTTCAGTCGCGCTCATAAATTCCTAGCTAAGTTGGAGTAAATTAATATATTTAATTAAACAAATTGGGCCTATGTTACAAACACGATATAAATTTTAAAAAAGAACATTTATTTTCGTTTACTTTAGTTCTGCACAGTGATAAAACATTGAAATTATCTAGCTACTGTTGTATTTTTAACTAAGTTTGTTTTACATTGTTCTTACTTGCTTCTCCCCTACTCTTTTACGTATTTTTTATACTACTTATTTACATTGAGTAAATAGTTGTATTGCAAGCAAATTTTAAGGTTTTTTGCATTCGTTTGAACGCAAAGGTTTGCATATTGTTTGCTCTTGGTTCGGATTTTGCTTGTTGGTAAACTGTTACAGAGTTTAGACACAGCCATCGCCTGTGTTTTGCTTTATCGAAGCCCTTTTTACTTCATACGAAAGGACGCGTTAAACGCCGCAGATACCTTACAAGTTGAGGACCGCTATTTTAGACAAGTCGTTGTTTTGCGAACTTAAGTTTTTCCCATATTTCAATTGCGCGACTTGGACGCTTCGACAGACCCAACAGTTAAAATATTACCCAAAGATGCGCACTGCTGAGGGTTCCACAACGGGACGTAACGGCCGTCCAGTGCTTCTAGGTTTTCCATAGTGGTCTAGCTTCAATTGAATCATGATCTCAACTATTAAAATTACTATAATATCCAAAAAAACCCTTTTAATATTAAAGATTGATTGATTGTTATTTAATCATATACATGTACTTTCATATGAGTGAAGAGTAGATATAACAATCAAACGACTAAAAATAATTCCCTTTTGAACAAATTGAACTATTCTGAGGACAAGCCACATGATATTCTCTACAATATTAAGCTGTTAATTATAGTATTATAAGTGTATAGTTGATTGAGGTTAATATTTATGAGGAAAGGAGTAGTGTATTATTTAGCTTATCACATGAATTGTCAATCGTGAAATTAAAATGTACACAGGAATAGAAATTTATTCATACACAAAAAAGGTGGCAGAAATTTAAAATCCAAGCTAAGCGTTTAACTAAAATGTGCATCATTTTATTGGTTTAAACTGGAAAGCACAGTTTACTTTGTATTTGAGACTTATCTATGACATATATCTATATTCCAATATGGGTTTATTTTCTTATTAAAGTGTAAATTAATCAGTGAACTTAATGAAAACTATATCGCTATTCATTAGAACACTAAGTTACAATAAAAAAAGTTTAGTCATTATCAGAAGGGGTTTTGTGGAGATTTTAGAAATTCCACAGATTGAAATCATCAGTCAGTTGAGGATAGACCATCATGGAAAGTCTAGAAGCACTGGACGGCCGTTTTGTCCCAGTATGGGGCTTAGCAGTGCGCATCCACCACGTCACCCCCTGAGAGATTCGAACCCAGGACATACTGGTTTTGTGCGCTGGCACTTAACTACTAGAATACTGAGCTGGCATCCCACTTTGTTAATGTCTCACTTCAACCAACCCACGAAGTTGCGCCACTGTACACCACTGTCTTCAGTGAACTGATATCTCACAACAGACCTGGTTGAACTCCACTGGTCACTACTTCTCACTAGAACTCCAGGATATACCTCTTGAAGCCAGTCACTAGTGAGCAGATGATTATTATCAGAAGGGGTTTTGTCGAGTGCTTCCAGGTTTTCCATGGTGGTCTAGCTTCAACTGACTCATGATTTCAATCAGTGAAATTCAGTCATTAATTAAAAAATGTAATCAAAGTGCAAACATTTTAGTCATTGAATAGTTTATAATGGTTTATACATATGATTTCTACGTAACATATTCAAAATTTTCTCTACAAACAGCCATACGTAAATAAACAAACAAATAAACAAATGAATAAATAAATAGGAAAAATAAGATATCTGACTAGTTGAACTTGTATAAAACCCGAAGCAATACATTTTACAACAGAATAGAATGCAACCAAACAACAGTTAGAATGTATCAACTGAGTTGCTTTTATCTAGTCAATCATTGATTTAAGCATACGAATTTAATTTTTATTCACAACTTCATAGGGATCTCATATGGGATTGCTTAAGGGCTTAGATTTTTGTGGTATATAACTTTGTTGAAAGTTTACTCGTATTCATGGCCTATTATACATTATCAAGTACACGTTACGCATCCACTTCTATGTAGTTTGCATTCAATTCATATACATTTTTGATTGTAAAATAATAAAAATGATTTACTGCATACTGAAATTCATTAGAAAAACATGAATAGAACAACGGGCAACAATCTCATTGACTAGTCATAA